TAAGTTACTATAGGGTAGGGTTGCCATTGTTGATGGAGGTTTCATTAATCTCAATATAACAAGAGTTATATATCTGTGACGTGCATGTCCATATTTATAGCCTGTTCAAAGATACATTATTGCATGGCTGGTAAATTATTATTGGCCATTTCCTTGTGTAATGGTGGATCAACTGGAAACTGCCTTTCAAAAGCAGTTTATGAATATCTGGTTTATGGTGAAGAAAGCACTCTGATAAACCCAACTGTGGATGAAGCTCGCACTGCATGATGATTGAAGGTTCTCTTACAAATAAATACAAGACTTAAATACAGTTTTACTATTATATATAATAAATAATGAAATTGGTACGTGGATAATTGTTTTTAGCAGATGGACAATTGTTTTTGATGTAGTAAATGATTAGTTAATGTTGTAGTTATATACCGCCATCGTGTTGTAACTTTGTAACCAGCAAGAATTTGATTTGGAAGCTGGTAAAGCAGAACATTTGGCATACACCCTACCAGAATATCTTACTAAATATTTTTCTATCCACCCCCCCCCCATGTCAGCTTATTCGTAGATACCTGAAATGTCAATCCTGCAACATTGACTCAGGGTTTCATTGAAGCTGGTAACTGGCAAATTCTGCTGGCTACTTTCTATCAGTTCACATATCAGTTTTCATAGAAAGTTCTAAATTTTGCTGCTTACAAGTACTTTCTAAAAATAAGTTGCTACTTTAAAAATAATGAAACCCCTGTTAATTGGCGAGTGGAAAAATTCACAAAAAAGTAACGTTGTTTTCTAATTTTTAGCAACCATTTTTTTTATAGCCACTAAGCAGTCCTGCCTTGTCCACAGTCTCTTTGTGTTTATTTAGGGGAAGGAGAGAATACTTATGGTTTGAGCTATCATGAATTCACAAGCAACTTATCACAGCCAATTATCTATATAGATTACATTGCAGTGCGTAAATTCCATGGCAGTTGAGTTGCTGGTATTTGTTTTTCACTTCTTTTTGCTTGTCACTTCTCTTTGCATTACCAAATTTGCCAATTGATGACCTCAATTACTTAAATATAATAGTGGGGAGATGTGGATTAAGCAACTTTTTTTAGCCCAATTTTGTGCCCGAGCAAAATCATTATCAGCATCAAATGTCAATATTTTGTTCACTCCAAACATGGATGATCCTGGAAGCAACAAGTGCAGTCGACAAGAACTTGCACTGATGCATTATTGGCGTGATTATCTGCAGGACTGTGAGGGTACTGTAACTAGTGGGTAGTGCGTCCATTTAGAGTTATTTTTTCAATAATTAAATATTGTTCAGCAACTGTTAAGCCACTTGCAATACTAATTATTACAGTAGATAAGTTGTAAAATACTTAACAAAGATTAAACTTCAGGTTAACATAGTCATTAGTATATTACTGTGTAATACTACATAGATTTACTCTACAGTGGAATAGTAATACTAATTAGTTACCAACTTATAGTATGCAGGTTCCATGAGTTTCAGTTCCAAACTGGACGTTTTATAAAACGTTTTAAGTTTATTTAACATATATCAACTTTCCCCAAAAAGATTCATAGATCAAAAGTTCTTGTTTTCTCAAACCAGATGTCTACGTCCATACCACTTGGAAAGCACTGGTTCTCCTCTGATCACCGAAGTTAAAACAAGCCAGGCGAAGTTAGTACTTGGGTGGGTGACCACTTGGGAATACTTCGTGTCGTAGACCCCTTTTGATTTATTCATAGAAAATTATTCTAATGTTCTCATTAATTTACCCAAAAGGGTTATTAATTTACCTGATCACTGAAGTTAAAACAATTCAGGTGAAGTTAGTACTTGGATGGTTGACCATGTGGGAATGCTTCGTGTTGTCAACCCTTCTTGATTTATTCATAGAAAATTATTCCAATGTTCTGATTAATTTGCCCAAGAAGAATATTTTTGTTTAACTTTCCCCAAAAATATTCATAAGTCAAAAGTTCTTGTTTTTTCAAACGAGATGTCAATGTCCATACCATTTGGAAAGCACCGGTTCTTGTCTGACTTCCAAAGTTAAAACAAGTCAGGCAAAGTTAGTACTTGGATGGGTGACCACTTGGGAATACTTTGCGTCGTAGACCCCTTTTGATTTATTCATAGAAAATTATTCCAATGTTCTCATTAATTTACCCAAAAGGGTTATTAATTTACCTGATCACTGAAGTTAAAACAATTCAGGTGAGGTTAGTACTTGGATGGTTGACCATGTGGGAATGGTTCGTGTTGTCAACCCTTTTTGATTTATTCATAGAAAATTATTCCAATGTTCTCATTAATTTGCCCAAGAAGAATATTTTTGTTTAACTTTACCCAAAAATATTCATAGATCAAATATTCCTGTTTTCTCAAACAAGATGTCTACATCCATACCACTTGGAAAGAACCAGTTCTCGTCTGATCACTGAAGTTAAAACGAATCAGGCGAAGTTAGTTCTCCCTTGGTTTTAGAAGATCCAGATAACCTAGCCTGCGATATGTCGAGTTTTTTAACAGTTACCGAAATATCAGTTTCAAATGCGTTAAAACCCTTAAATCCTCGTAAAGCATCTGGGCCAGACGGTATTCCAAGCTGGCTACTACGCGAATACGTGGAATTCCTGGCCCTTCCTATTACTAGCATCATAAACTCATTTTACTTTGAACAGCATCTCCCAGATATTTGGAAAAAAGCCAATGTTGGCCCAATACCTAAGTCAAAACCCATTAAAGATGTTTGTAAACATATTGTAAACATATTCAACCCATCCCCTTAACCCCAATTATGTCCAAAATGGCTGAAGAGTTTGTAGTGCAACAATTCGTCCAGCCTGCTATCCTCTCTGTCCTTCACAAAAACCAGTTTGGCGCAATACCAGGATCACCAACGACCAATGCATTAATTAGCATGATTGATCGAAATAATGATTGTTTTAACATTTATAGTGCTTATATATTAGTAAATTAAACTGTGTTTGCAAACTTTAAACGTATTTATAAACCACAGGAGGAAGAAGATGTGCAGTTTGTAATTTGTAAATATAAGCCTGCGACATGCAATCAATTAGCACATCCTTGACCGTGAGTCTTATCTGTAATTTGAAATGGTATAGACATCTCTATATGTGCGTGTATGCACAGAAAAGTTAAATCTTTATAAATTACATTGCTGGTAAACATAGCTCCGCAAAAACGCAATTGATGATTCGTTTGATTTTAGATATTTTCGCACTCTGCTGTTTTGTACAATGTACAATTTTATGCACTTGCAATGACCTAATGAAATTTCGGCGCACTTATTTTTTTTTGTCCTTTGTAAGTAAGGAGTAAAAATATTTGTCATATAAGGATTTAAAACAGATATTAGGAAGATTATGAAATTTATTTTTCATTTCTTTCAAGCATATTTTGACCTCATAGGAGTTCAGAAACTGTGTTGATTTCTTAGGATGCTGGCAGTAAATATTCAGATGATTGGGAAGACATTGAAAATGAAAGAAAGGTTCAAATTATGATTGAAATACCTGAACTGGTATGTTGTGAAATAAAAGCTTGTTTGATTCATTATATTTCTTTACTTCAGCATTTTTTTGAAAAATATTTTCATATCTGTACAACTGATTCTTTTATATTCTAAAAATACTCAGTTATTCAATTGCATTTGTCACTGTAAAAACTTTCTTCCAGACTAAGAGTCTTATTAAGAGGGCATAGACATCGAAGAAAATTTTGTTCATTTTTTAGTTAAAATCTACTTGCAGGGATGAGGTGAATAGATTTTTGAATGATATTGAAGAGTTACTGAATGAAAACGTTGCCATAAAGCCAGAAAATACAGAACAAAAACGTGATAACCTAAACCTGGTATGTTAATTTGTTCATTCACATAACCGTTAGAAGAAATAATATATTAATAATTATAGTTAGTCCCCCCAAAACAACTCAGTTCAGAGCACTGTTGAGAAAGTAAAAATGGAAAAATTTAAATGAATATTTTTGCACAAAGTGATGTATATTTTTATTTCCTAGTTACCTTAAACTTGTACACAAATTTCCACAATTTAGTTATTTCTTTCACGATTCTTCTACTTTTTATAGGAGTGCGGAATGGAACCAGAGCAATGTACATCATCTGCACCCACTGGGAGTGAGAAGCGCTCTCACAAATCCTCGTCATCCCCACATAAAGGGTCATGTAAGAAGGGGAGACCTAAACATATGTGCCCTTTTCCTGATTGCCATTCTTCAGTCGTCCATCTCCCACAGCACATGAGGAAATGTCATGAATGGAGCCCCAGAAGCCCACTCTGTCCTTAATTCGTTTAGTCTAAGAAAGTGGAAAGCTGAATCAAAAAGGAAAACAAAACGTGTTTATAAAAGTGTTATTTGTCCAATTGACGAATGTACTTCAATTGTTAAAAGAATTCACAACCATTTAACTGATGTACATGGGATTAAGAGAGGCAGCAAATTCTATTAGAAATGCTTACAAAATGCTGTATGCCATGATGTGGAAGTCCTAAGTTCAGCTGAGTCATCTGAATCATTTGGCAGTGATGGCAGTGTCTCATCTTCGATGTACAGGCCTCCAGCAAAAAAGACAAAAAGCGAATCCCATGCCATGCACTCTCCTAGTATATACGATGCTGTTTATAATAGTGGAGGAAGCAGTGACAAAGGATCCCGAAATTCTGAAATAAGCGTTGATGAAGCACAACTTCGTGAGAACACAATTACTCCTGTGGTTTTTGATGAGAGCTTGCAAAAGATTTTTGACAAATTTGAATATTGGTTAAAAGGGGCAGATAGTGGGAAAAAAATGATCGTTCTGCAGTACAATGTAGAAGACAAGTCGAATTAGTTGTCAATTATATCGATAGTTCAAACCCATCTTTAAACAATATTTTGCATAAAACAACATTCCGTGAAAATTGGCTAAATAAATTTGACCATGAAAAACAGCCTGGAACTGTGAAACAATCGGGACCACAAGACACTCTCTTCTCATGGCTCTGTGAATGTTATTTTTAATGCATCTCTTTACAGATATACTAAAATTTACATTCAGAAATTCAGAAATCGTTTGGCAGATGTTAACACAGATAAAGATTCGCCAGTTTTTTTAACTTCTAACCAAAAGAAAATGAAGTCATCGCAAGTTGGTGCCTAGTTGGGATCATGTTGGGGGAAAGTTTTTGGGAAAGAAACATCTATGGGAGGAGCAACTGCCTTCAGAAAAGCTGCTGTATCCGCAGTTCATGAGCAGAATGAGGATTTACGTGGGGACTTAGCGGACCTTATGGTTCATAAGCAATCAACAGCTGATCATTACTATCTGTTAAAAAATAAAGGGAAATCTGCTGTAAGAACTTCAAATGAACTGGCAAAGATAATGAGGTCATCTGGTCAAGCTAATATGGAAGAAAACACAGACACTCTTCAGGTGGAAAATCCAGAACAAAGGCACAAATGGACACCAAATGAAATTTTGGAATTAGGATCTGCGTTTTCTGAACATATAAAGCGGAAGTCAATAACATTAAGGCAGGTTAAAGAAATCACTAAAGGAATACCTATTCTACGATGTATATCCCTCAAAAAAATTTGTGACAAAATTCGTTCATACTTTGGGACAGATGAATCGAGAAGTGAGAAGTCACCATCCTTGCCAGGTGAAATGGAATCTTGTCAAGAGCATATGGAACGTGCTGGTCTAACCAAATGTATGGAACGTGCTGGTATAACCAAATGTTAACAATGGTATGTTAAAACTTTTATTTTCTTGTTATTATATTTTAATGCTTCGTGACTCAAATTTACGATCTTGACTTTCAAAGTTTGTTTTGAACATTCGAAACGTAATTGCGAACTTCGCAAACACATTTTGAACAGTTTGTGAAATCTACAATAAGCTTCTAGGTATGGCTCTGAGCAGATAGCAGCATAGCCTTGGCTAAAATATACAAGTGCTTTAGTAGAATTATCACCTGTCTAGGCTATAAAAAAATGGATAGGTTTATGTTCCATTGGACATAGTGTTCATTATAATCCCTAGTATTATATATTAAAGTAATATATAATGTATAAACTATATTATAATCGCTATTTTTTAGTCAATTAGTTGCATGATATTATAACGATGTTAGTGCTAATACAAACTAAATTATCTATTTAATTTACGAAATTCATTCTATGATCCTTACGGGTGTGAAATACGTAAAATGTCACCTATATACAATAGATATACAATATGGGTACAGTATGTATAATTAGCATCCATATAATAATTGTAATGATTTTTAATAAATACGTTCCCAACTTGTCTTGATTTCAGTGTTTTTATTATTCCCGTGTTTAAAAGTTATTTTATAAACAAATCCACTTTCTCAATTATTCATAGACTGCTTTCCAGTTTTGCGTTTTTTATAAGAACGTACACACACAGTAAACTTTAAATGCTTCGAAATTCTTATTATTTAACATCTAGGTCTACAAGTGCATACTAAAATATGCGGAAAACTAAGTTCTTTTGATTTATTTACTTAGCTTTTTCAAAGATAACATCTATTTTGACTTTTACGTGCCTGTATGTATGTAAAATGCGTAACTGGAAAACAGCCTTAACTCTTTCAAAAATTTCAAGTGCAAATATTTTAGACCAACTTATCACAGTGAATTATTTGATTCTTTACACACTCATTCTGCATTCAATTATATGTGGGTAATTTGCAAGGAAAACAATGGCAAAAGTGCATATCTCCTGCTATAGGAATCAAATCCAAGGTTGAGACATTTCGTTACCATAAAACATTGTTACAATAATACAGTGTCCCCTTACACAATGTACATATAATTCAACTACGAACAGACACAACCAAAAACGCGGACACTTGCCGAACTGATACAAGTAACTAGATGATCGCAGTCTGTCGCTAATTATCCGAGACACAGTGAATGATGGACAAAAGGCCCTGGCAATCCTGCGTGAACATTATATATCGAACTAACTCAACTAACCTCTCTTACGAAGTCGAGCAAAGAATCTGTGACAGATTACATGCTGCGGGCAGAGACAGCATCCACATCTCTAAAATCCGCTGGGGAAACCATAAGTGATTGTTTACTGATCGCGATGATCATCAAAGAACTACCTACGGAAGAGTATAACGCATTTTCAACTGTAGTAATGCAAAGGTTTAGCGAGTGTAAAATCTCATTAAGAAGTTTTGAAGAGACCCAAAAGCTCTCAGAAAAAGGAAACCCAAAAGAAGATAGCGCCTTAGAAGTTCTCGGTAAATCTGGCAAGCACAACAAAGGAAAAATCATCTGCTATGGGTGTTTTCAGAATGTCGTTCAAGAAACCGCTGGTGCGCTGTTTGTAAAAACAACACCCACAACATGGAAAGATGCCAAAAGAAGAGGACAAGAAAACCGACAAACCATGCCTCAAAATTTGTAAGAAATAATAATTATCATGATAGTGAGCACGATGATCAGTCATATCTTTTCGGAGTAGGTGTTGATATTGATAATATTGATAAGGTTAATGGTATATTAGTTGATTGTGGGGCTACAGCACACATAGTGCATGATCTTAGCAAATTTGTTAAGTTTGATACGCAATTTAATCCTGAAAGGCACTTGAGTTGGCAGACGGGAAGAGGTCAAACAACTTTGCGCAGAAAAGAGGTGATGCTGAAGTGGAAATCTGTGATGTTGAAGGTAAAACACACAAGGCTCTTCTTAAAAATGCTCTTTATATTCCTTCTTACAAGCAGAATATATTCTCAGTTCATGCAGCAGTTAGTAGGAGTGCCACTGTGAATTTCTCTCCTAATCATGCTAAATTAGTTAGTCCAGATGGTACAGAATTTAAAATAGAACAGGAAGATAAGTTATATTACTTAAACAGCGTAATCTCATCTGGCATGTCAAAACAGGATAGCAAGTCTAAGTCTTTGAAGGATTGGCATGAAATTTTAGGACACTGTAATCTGAATGATGTTTTAGCTTTGGAAAGTGTAGTTAAAGGAATGAAAATTGTAGGAATGAAAGAATTTGATTGCGGAACATGTGTGGAAGGAAAAATGACTCAATGTAGAGCAGAAAGCCAGACAAGCAAGCTAATAATATTCTGGAATTAGTTGATTGCGATTTAACCGGCCCAATAGATCCTATAGCAAGAGAATATTACCGCTATGTATTAGCTTTTGTAGACAATTTTTCGGGTATGATTATGATTTATTCTCTATTTAATAAGAGTGACTAGTTAAAGGCAACTGAAAAGTTTTTGGCAGAAATAAGTCCATTTGGTAAGGTTAAGTGCATTAGAAGTGATAATGGCGGAATTTACTTCGCAAAAATTTCAAGATCTTCTAATTAAACATTGGATAAAACATGAGAAATCAGCTCCTTATTCGCCGCATCAAAATGGCACGATTGAGCGTAATTGGAGATCACTATTTGATATGGCTAGATGCCTATTAATTCAGTCAAAGTTGGCAAAAACATTTTGGCCTTACGCACTTAGGACTCCGCATACATTATGAACCGCTGTTATAATCCGCGAATAAAGGGAACACTGTATCAAGCTTTCACACGGCACAAGCCAAATATTCAGAACATGCATATTTTTGGTATCGTTTGCTATGCATACAAACAGGAAAAGAAGAAACTAGATGAGAGAGGGGAACAAGGAATATTTGTTGGGTACGATAAGGGAAGTCCAGCTTATCTAGTATACTTTCCCCAAACCAAAACCATTAAACGTTGCCGCATTGTCCGTTTTTCTGATAAATTTGAAATTGTAAGCGATACCCCAAAACAAGCACATGAAATGATGACTGAAGAACCAATGATTGTCAACATGCCAATAAGCAGTGAAGATGAAAAACAAGTTGAAGGGGATAATACTAACAAATTGCCTGCAACTAATCAAGGCACAAACAATGAGCAAACTAATACAAGCAGATATCCCAGGCGTGAATGCACAAAACCTAAGTATTTAGAGCAGTTTGTTGATGGCGATGAAATTGAAGAAAACGAACTTGTTAATTTCACAATCGATTACTGCTACAGAATAACAGATGCTCCCAAGTCTTATCAGGAAGCAATGTCTTCCGATGATTCTTCCAAGTGGCAAATAGCCATGGAAGATGAAATGCAAGGCCTAAAATATAACAACACATTTGAACTGACGAAACTACGAGAGGGTAAAAATGCAGTGGGTGGAAGATGGGTATATGCCATTAAAAATAATCCAAACGAAAAGGAAAGCTACAAGACACGCTATGTTGCAAAGGGGTATTCCCAAACTCCCGAAATTGATTATAAGGAAACATGAGTTGTATGTAGAACAGCCGGAAGGTTTTATTGTCAAAGGGAAAAATGGCGAAAACCTTGTTCTAAAGTTGCGTAAATCGTTATATGGTTTGAAACAAAGCAGTCGTAATTGGAATAGTGTGTTGCATTCTTATGTAACAAGTGAGGGTTTTATTCAGTCAGAATCTGACAATTGCGTTAATGTTAAGGTAGAAAGTTGTGCAACTACAATCCTAATAGTTTGGGTAGACGATATTCTTGTAGCTTCAAATAATACGTACAGTTTTTAGGAATAGAATTTAATTGTACAGAAGGCACTATTAAGATGAGTCAGACTAAATACATAGAGAAAATCCTATCTAGATTCGGAATGGAAAACTGTAAGCCTAGGACCTCACCATGTGAAATGAACTCAACGAAGAATGTCAGAGACAGAGTAGATTCAGAATCAGCTGACAAACGATTATATAAAGAGATAGTTGGCAGTTTAGTCTATGTGATGACTTCTACTAGACCAGATCTTTGCTACAGCGTGACAAAACTCTCTCAATATTTGTCCGCTCCCACAGTGGATCACCTGAACACTGCCAAGCATGTCCTACGATATCTGAAAGGTACTTCAGATAAAGGTCTTGTTTTCCGGAAGGTTGATAAACCAATGACTTTGATTGGTTATTGTGATGCAGATTGGGCTTCGTCAGAAGACAGGCGTAGCATCACAGGGTATGGATTTCAGTTGAGTGAGAATGGACCTTTGGTTTCTTGGAAAAGTCAAAAGCAAGCAACAGTGGCTCTGTCCACTTGCGTCACTTGCTGCTGCTGTGCAAGAGGCAAAGTTTCTTTTCCAATTGTTGAAAAGCTTCCTAGATACATCCAGAAATGTGTTTGATTCTATCATTCTATAATGCGATAATCAGGGTGCATTAGCTAAGAATCCAGTCCAACATCAAAGATCTAAGCATATAGATGTATGATATCATTTTGTAAGATCTGAGATTGAGAAACATTTGTTAAAAGTAATGTATGTTCCATCGAATGATAATTTGGCTGACATGTTTACGAAGCCAGTCACAGGATCAAAAATGAAAGTATTTCTGAAACGTATCCTAGCAGAGTAAACTCAATTTTTGTAAATAGTTATATTTCTATCAATGTTAATATTATATGTTTAAGTGGGGGTGTTAAGATAAACATTAATATTCCGATGACGTCAGTCTATCTATGAACACGTGTCCATGATCACATGAACACTAGCAGTATAAAGTTTTTGTTTCATGTAGCTGTTTAGTTAGTTGGGACTGTTACTTGTAAGTTGTATAAGTTTTTGTCAATAAATATTGTTATATATAAGTCTTCCACCGTCATGAGTTTAAGACAGCATTTTATTTGCTTTTATTTAAAAGTCACAGCACAGGGTATCTCTTATTCAATGTT